TTTTAGGCCTGTTTTGCCCCCTTTGATGCTGGTTTTGGATTTTCTTTCACTTCGCATTTTCGCACCAAGCCAAGACCTTAATTTCGTTTTTTTCGCAACGGCCTAAAATGGATATTTTAGTGCGAATGGGAATGTCGCTACGGTAGTCATTGCTGCATCCTCAAGCACCTCATCAGAACACCTTTTTCAAGGCTTGTACTTTACCCATCATGGGCAAAGGCCCCGAAACCGAGCAGCCCCTCTTGTATTGCGCCCTGGTTGAGTACCTTGTTATTGGCTGCTACCGCGCAGGTGTCTCCGTGGTAAAAGAGAGTGGACGGACCCGCAGTCCAGGTGTCTGACGTAATGTCATAAATCTCCATTGTGTTAAGGGGTGTCGAGTCAGCATTCGAAGCCCAGCCCCCCACTACGTAGATCTTGCCTGGAGGGACGGAGAATTTGTGCTTAACATGGGCAAAAAGAACCCGAGTAAGCCCTGCAAAACTGGGACTTATGAACAAGGGTGCTCAAGGTCAAGTCCGGTTCAATGATGCTTGGGAGACTACCGCATGAAAGTGCAAGAATCTTGCCCCTCAATGGTTTTTAGATTTAGGTGGCAGTTCCAAATCCTTAATCTAATCCTTAATCCTTCATCTCAATCTAATCTGTGCTCTACTGCCGGCTATCCCCCAGCGTAAGAACGACCACTTTCTTAGCCAAAGCAACCATCGTTCTTGCAGCACACAAGAGAGCTTTCCTGCAGCACAAAGGCAGCCCCTTGCAAACAAGCCGCTTGCGTTGCAATTGAAAGCACTACGCAAAGCTAAAGATGAATTCTGAAAAGTGCCGATAGCCCCATTTCTCACCATTCAGGACGTCAGCTCCGTGTCGGTAGCGGGGCGCCAGGAGCGGTGCCACCGGCGTGTAAGTGTGAAGGAGGCTGTCATAGCGCAGGACCTGGTTCAAGGCTATCCCGCTCGAGTTGGCGCCTCCAGTCAGGTACACAAAATCGCCGGACCCAACGGCAGTAAAGTCGGTAAGAGGCGCTGCGACGACAGGAGACAGCATGTGTCGCTCTCAGCAAGTATATTCGTGGGGTGATTCATTGACGCAGAGCCTTCTGAGCCACTTCAGGGCATCTCACTGCGGAGGTTTTTCAGATGTCAGGACACTGAAAAGAAACGTCCGAGATAAGAACTTTGCTTGAGATGTGATAAAGGGGTGGTGTGTGGCCAGATTGGTGTGCCTCATTCCTAGACTTTGAATACAACTCGCGACACGTTTTTGTCGGCTGTGGCGACGAACGTGTTTGACGATTGTACATTGCTTGTCAGCTCAGCCCGGCATGGGATTGGCATTCGCGCTGAGGTATCTAATCGCAACAAACTTGGCTATATGAAAGGCTGCAAATGAGCACGTTGAGACCAGGTACTTGACAGTACAATTTGGTAACGGTCTTAGGTGGCGCTAGGTTGCAGCAGACACGGGCGATGGGCGGGTGGTTTACCTGGGAGAGGGTTTCTGCCTGCCCAGAAGCCACTGCCTCTGTACAGGCTGCCTCCATAGTTGAGCGGCGTTGAACCCTCCGTCTGCGGCCGAACCACAGAGCTGCAGAGAATTCCAAAGCGCTTAAGCATGGAATCCAGACAAAAGATAGACAATGACCAAGTGGCGCCTTCAAGTGCTCTTGTCAGATGATGTGGTGGCAACATGAGGACCAACGCATGCAGAATGCTTTGACGTGAACGTTGGCTCTTCCTTCCACTGCAGTCCTTTCAGCACGATGCGCCAAGACACGAGACGATCGGAGCATTTGAAACAGAGGGAAACGCCCTTCTTCCAACCTGAAAGTAACGTTAGGAGCCACATTGTAGTCGCTTTGAAGATGCTCGATGTCATGACCCTGGTTCGAGCCCACCACCGCTAGGGCAATCAAGAGCCCCAGCACCGACAGGAAGAGCACGCCAATGAGTGCATAGGCCAGCGTGACAGCCCTCTTCAGTTTCTGCAGCTCAGAGCTGCTGCCCACCAGCTTTGCCTGCTGCTCGACATCCATGGCTGATGCACAGCTAGATACCTATGTTACGTCGCCAGTTCTCCCAGCTGAAGCCAGTGAACTGTGGTCCTGGAAGAAAGCGAACGGATACATATCACTATTATAAGACGGAAAGCAAAGCAGCACAATAGGTACATTAGGTATCCTATCGCCGATATTTCAGGTACTTGCGGAGTGGTGTCCGCAATGTGGGACATATATAATCTTCGGAACTTTGCAGACGTAGTATGCTCAAGCCGAATCCCCAAGCTTGCATGGTGTAGAACAATGAAATCTCGGGTCCAAAGAGTTGACTTTCAAGAGCTTCTCTCCAGCATGCAAACCCGCGGAACTAAAGCTGGTCGCTTCTATGCAAATATTCGAGGAGACACACCACATCCTGACCCCTATATATGGAACTTCGACCGG